ACAACAGTATTGAGTCCTTCTGCTGCACTGGCATATGGGGGGGAATAATTAGGCTTACTGCAATTATCGATTTCCTTTTATGAGCAAATAAAAATGGTAGCTAAATAATTTTTGAATAATCCTATTAAATTATGAAAAAAGTAAAGAATATGTGGGATCTTTAATAACTTTTCTCCAACCATCCAAAATCATTGTTTTGCCTGAAGTTTCTATTTCTATGTCAATGTGAGATTTCAGTTTATTAATTTAACAAACCTTCACATGCAAAACACTGTGTGCAGCAAGAGATATGAAAATGAGTAAGACAAACTCTCCCTTCAAGGAACACGCTTGCAAAAAGGTAGACAAAAAAACTACAATACAACATTAACAACCTACTGTATTACAGCTGTGTTGCAGCAACTATCAGCTCATTGAAAAATAAAAACATCAATTCGCTTTGATCATAAACAACTTAAAATTATCAGTAATGCCAAGTCCCCAGAAAAATCCTCACGCTTTTCAAGGTCTATGCTGATGCCAAAATTAGATTTATTCATAATAAAATGAATGAGAGAAACTATCCATCTGTAGATGACCATGGTATGGAGGATGGAAAACACCTTCAGAGTAGTTCTGTATTACCTGTTTTACAAATCAAGCTTCCAATTAAGATTTAATTTTTATAAAAGGGGGCTCCAGGGTTGTTTTTTTTTTAACAGTTGAAAATAAAAAGATTGGATAATTAGTGAGATACAATTTTGTTTTACATAATAGAGTACCTTCATATAGCACACACTGTCTAAGTAAAACAATAAAAACAATTACATGTATAAGTAAAAAAGAAAAAGCAACTCATCTACATGTGTGGGAGGTTTTAAAATCAAGTACTGCATAAGCAACAAAAGTTATGTAGCTATTACATATTATTTCAATCATTACCTGCCTTTATATGCCAATGAAAAAAAGCTTTCAAAATCTCTCCTTAGATCACAATCAAGAACTTAGCTAAAGTAACAAAGCCAGTAAGCAGGAGAGCACGGATCTGAACCCAGTCTTGCTCCAGGACCAGCACTTTTCAAACCTTAATGTCTGAGGGTACTTCAAAAAGTTTGTGGAAAATAGAATTAAAAGATAAAATGAATTTTTCCAAGTATCCTCATACATACAATTCACCTGCAAATCTTGTTAAATTCAGATTCTGACTCAGTACTTCCGCCTCAGGGTGAGGCAAGATTCTGCATTTCTAACAATCTCACCTGTGATGGAGATGCTGCCAGATCACTCTTGAAGTAGCCAAGTTCTAGTCTACCCCACAAAATGGTGGAAAGTAGTGGCAACCCTCAGGAGGAGGCAGAGTTCATCCTCAGTGAGACAATTAGGCTTATGAGCAAGTTAGGGGTTGCCAACTTCTAGTTTTGAATTTAACTGCTTCCTTTATGATCGTTTTTTTTTTGAAAGGAAGTTAGTAAAATTTAAGTATTATAGTACCTGATTTCAGGTTTTGCTAGTTAACATATTATTAACACTATTAACTTGATACTGTATTAATAACCCCACTAAGGCCTTTCCCACATCCAAAACTATTTACAAATACTCCTGAATATCTACTTTAACATTGATTCAATATGAACATATTAAAAAATATTTTTAAAGTGTTTATATGCACTTTTTCATACATGGAAAGAAATAAGAGGTTAAGTTAGAAATCTAGTACCTTTCTGAACTTTTGCTGTTTGTACAAGCAGTGTCTAAGAGAGGACAGAGACACCCATTTGGGAAACAGATGGAATGTAAATGTCTTAATAACATCACTAAACAATTCTAGTCAATTTTCTCTAAAAACAGGTAGGGAAATGATAACACAGTTTCCCTCCCCTCTCTTTGATGTATCAATTATTTATATACTAATCCAGAATGTAGTATGTAACGAGTATAAAAAGAAACTGATTAATAAATATTATATCCCTATGTTTAGGGCATTTTGGCTTACGGTCCTCCAATACCTAAAACCCGAAACATCATCAAATCATTGGAAATAACAGATTTATAAAACTTTTATACTATTAGGAAAAAAAATATGAATACTATCAAAATATATTCAAATATGCTTATTGACATATCCTTAATTCAACAATTAAATCTATCCTAACAGCACCCTGAGTGTATACACATTAGACATAACTATATAATAGCTAAAGAATATTTTACTAATTAAAACACAGGAAGGGATTTAAGAGAAATCTCCCTTGCCTGAGTAATTTTGGTTTTGCTGAATTTTCTTGTATTTCATTCAAATTTTTCCTAACTGTACACAGACATAATTCCTGAGGTAGAACTAAATCTTTGACAAGCTTGTAAAAATCATATTCAAAACCATAATGGGATTCTGATTAAATAACTACACTTGAAAGTCAAAAGCATTAAGTTTCATAGATCTCAGGCACTATGAATTCGCATACTCTATAATTTATGAATATAGAATCTCATCTTTAATTGTAGTATAAATTAATAAATTTAAACCATACAATCACCATAAAGCTAAAATTCTCATTTCTGCACTTGTGAATTAAAAGAACATAACATTACAATCTGTCACAGTTCTGACCAGGAAGCAAAAATAAAAGACAAATTCAGGCTTATCTGTCAAACTTTTAAAATTCCTCTACCAAACATTTCAAATTCCCACTCAAGAACAAGGACTAAGCCTTCTTCCACCCAAAAGAATCTGAAGACAAACAAAAGTACCTGCATATTTTACAGGTGAGGCATATAGAAGACTGTCCCTATAGCAATAAGAAACTTCTCCCAGTCCCCTACTAAGACTTAAACTTTGTTTTTTCATTAATTACTTACATGCCACAAAGAATTTCATATATTAAAAGAACTGGAGAACTAAAAGATATCTGCAAAAGTTTACAGTCTTAACAGCTTGTGTCAAGGGAAAGCAGAGATGAGATGTAATCCATGTTGTTCACAAGCAAGCCCAAAGTTTTGCTATTTCACTAGTCTAATCATCAAATGTGAAGCATTATTTCATGGACTTAAAAGAAATCTGGTATACAAAGAGAAAACCATAAGATAAGCGAAACTTTCTATGTCATAGAAGATTTTACCCCCTCTAAAATAATCCTCAGTGACCTTGTAGGAAACATTCCTGGGTCAAACATGTAAAGCAGATTTCTTCAGCAACTGTAACACTAGGCTACTGCTCTGAGGGCATTCAACACATGTCTACTGGGCTCTCTAGATTTACACACGTCCACTAGCCTGTGCCATTTGCAGAAAATCAACCGAAACCTTTAAAAATGTTTGACCTTACATGCAATTTTAAAACATTTCAGAGTTTTGAACTGATAGATCTTTACATCTTTCATAATGGGAAATATCAGAATACACTCTGCAAGTGAAGTGATTCTTCAAGAGAGTAAATTTAACTTGACCTCCCTAAATGGCTACAGATTTGACACACCATTTAGAAGCCTGTAAGGAAATACTTTGATTTACTTATTCTCTAAAGCAGCTCTATTCAACAGAAATATAAATGCAAGCCACATAGGTGATTTTCTAATACCCATATTAAAATGGTAAAAAAAAAAAAAAAGTAAAATTAATTTAAATATTTTATATAGCACAATGTATCCAAAATATTATCATTTCAAAATGTAATACGTATTTGTTTTTAAATGGGATATTTTACATTCTTTTGTGCATACAAAGTTTTCAAAGTCCGATGTGTTTTTACATTTACAACACATCTCATTTTGGACTAGCCACAACTGAAGTAATCAGGCCCCATGTGGCTAGTGGCCACATTATGGGACAGCACAGCTCTTAATACTCTGAGATCTGACATAACACTCTCTGTTCAAAATTAGTTTACATTCGTGTATCCTTTTTGAACTGAAATGGTTGAAATAACAAATATAAGCAAAACTATTCACTGGATAAATCAGGATCAGATCACCTTATCTAAGGATCCAGTTAACACACACAAGCAGCAGCAACTGGATTATTCCCTATTATATTTCAAGTAGATTTCAGAGATAGGTCTAACCATCACAACTGAACATAATTTGTGCAAAAATATAGGTTAGACACTAAAACATTTTCATATCAAACCATATCACTGCCTTATTTGTAGCAATGACGGTCATTCTTAAGCACATTTCTCATGCAAATTATCTACAATATTGTTTTCTAAGTTTGATGAATTTTTTTAACTATACAGTCACTGTTAAAAAAACAAACAGTGAATATATAAGACGAAGTGAAAAAAAAATCACTGGGGAAAACAAGATTAACCGGCTACTTTTAATATATCTTATATCAACCAACAATCCTACATTATTCTACCTGAGACCAACTGAAACAAATTCTTCCCACAATTCCAATTCATTTACTGCTTTTCACACACATATTTCAACTACCAAAGTTACTAAAAATTTCCCCAAGTAATTAGGACATTTGCTTAAAATGTAAATAATCCCAACAATGTCTTCTGTAGAAAACAACAACTAAAACCATTAGCTCAGCACACATAAAATTTGTCCTGAAGGCAAGTTACTGAATAAATCAAACAGAAACAACTCCACTCTTGTTGACTGCATTTACATTTTGTAACACCACATTCAGCAATTTCTAAATTTGGAGGGTCAGTTGGGACTGCACACAAGCAGTAACTTTAAAGCTTAACAAAATTTTATAAGTTTCTGCAATATACTTCTGGATAAACATGCTCTGCAGAAATACAACAGAACAAAAATCAGCACCTTTCATACTAATCTCACTAAGAAGCACAAAATCGGCATATACATAAATCCACAATGTATGATACATGCTATAAAGTACTTTTTCTCCTAATTTTACTTAATTCACCTTACACAGTTTTTGTTTAATGCACTTGCAAAGCTGTAAAAAAGCAAATGTAGCCCCTTCTGCTGCACACATATCCAGCGAGGATAATAATCTCTTGCTATTTTTCCACCATTTGAAATCAAAAGAACAAAATTGTTTCTTACCTGCAGTTAGGAGGAGGATCAAGGGTTATTTCAGCTAGCTCCTTCTGAATTCTGTTAGTGAAATGAGAACATACAAAAAGGATTTGAGATAGCCTACAAAATAACCGGGGAATTACACTGCCCTCTACCACCATGCAGTTAAATGCAAGGCTGGCTTTGCCTTCAGTAATGCTAACATGGCTGCTTCCTCTTTGTTCTCAGAGGCATAACCCAAATCCCTTAACAGAAACTTTGCAGCTTTTTTTCTCACTTGCTATTGTAAATAAATCAGTCATTGACACCTGATTTGAGAAGTAGTCCTCCATTAGTACTCGGTAAAGAATATAAAATCAGTTTTAAAATACTTTTTACCAAAGAAATTCTCTTTTCAAGCTTATATGCAAATGAGACAAAAAGGGAGGAGGGAAAGCACTAGAACATTTGACAATGACTTCAAGTCACTTTCACTGAGGTAAAAATTAACAAGCTACTGCTAAAGCACATTAATAGTTTTGACAATATTTTATCTGTCAAAAAAAAAGTTTAAAATTTACACGTCTTTACCAGTGAAAAACTTCCAAAAATGAACTGGCATTCGTATTTAACCATTTCTCTTTTCCCTGATCTTAGGTACAGCACTTAAATTTAATAAATTTTGGGAGAAAGAAAACAAAACGAAGATAAAAAGGGGAAAAAAGCAATTCTCTGATTTTTTTCAAATTTAAGATGTTTTCAAAACTTAAGACGTGTTTCATGTGTTCCGCAACAAGATTACAACAAATTGAGAAGGATTTTAAATTATTTCAAAGACAGCTGCTGAATATTCTCAAATTACTAATACTTGATTATTGGTACAATAAAGGTGAAAATCCACAGAAAAATAAGACTATTTTTGAATCACTACAGAATGCAATATTAGATCAGTTTTTGTATCTTTTTTCCTTTAGTCGTGATCAATAAAAATCAACAATGTCAATATTGCCTAATGCTGTAACTACATTTTACATATAATTACTAGAGTTCATGAATACTCCACTATCACTGATGGAGAGCCATTGACAGAATCTCTTTTCGCCATCACAGAAAATATAAATCAACAGGAAACAAATGATCTTTCACTTCTACCCAACAAAATATGTTTTTCCTGCTGTTGAGTATCAATGTGTCAAGCACATCCACACGTTTCAGAGTGAAGAGTCACAAGGACAATGAAAGTTTTCAACTGCCAACTGACACCTAAAATTGTAAATGGCCACTTTTCAGTTTTATTTGCCCTGGCAAGAACAGGGAAGGATAACCACAATTTAACTACAAAAAGTTATACCTGTGATGCATGATTTAAAGTCTTATTTGTAAAACTAAGCAGATTGGAGCACAATTTAAAATCCGTTTTCAAATATAGCCATGGCCTGGAATTTACAAATTTCCTAGCAATCGTGCTCATTTGTGATCACTAAGTTTCATGAAGAGAAGCACTGCTGACCTCTAGAAGTGTCAATTCCACTAAGGAAAAGTATGACTCATAAAAGGAAACATCCCCAATTACCATCTAATTTGGGTTCAACAAATTTTCCTTGCCAACTCCTTAACAATCTGTCAGAATGTTGGTCCACCTCTACTGAAGGACACTCTTACTGAAGTTACCAAAGTACAGAACAGTTTGCTTAAAAGTGTAATTCTAATGAGGTCACTTATGTACCACCTAAACAATATCAACTCGTTCATGTACAAATAAAATTGATCATGAAGTAAATACTTCTCCTCAACTATTGCTACTGATGTAAAACTAACATAAGCGTCTAACCATTTGTAAGGCAACCTGACAATGTGCCTTTTACACATTACCTTTTAGCACTAGTGGATAACTTAGCAGTGGTTTTGCTAGAGAGTTTGGTGTTTTTCTTCTGTTGGGTGGCAGGTTTTCTTTCTTCTTGTTCTTCGGGCTCTGGAGCGGCTGGGTCTCGCTGGTCCGCATCTGAACTGCCACTGCTAGTGCTGGGGCTCTCATCATCGGACCTTTGCCTATCACTGGACATCTTGGTGAAGTTCCCTCTTGGAAAACTTTTAAAAGGAGGGGAGAAGAAATGTTAAATCTAAGAAATAAACCAACAGCATTTTCTTTTCTTAATATTTACCTAAAATCGTATTTTAATAAAACTTCAAAAGTGTTCACACTTATCTCATCGTACAGCAAGGTTACAGGGGAGGTGATGTGTCTCACAACGCCAACGTTCAGGGATTTACAGAACTCAAGTTAGAAAACCCACTCACATTTTTTTTCCGTCCCTTGGACAATCTATCAATTGTCTACTTTCTCAGAAGGCATGAAACAGATTTGCCAGGGAACTTAGGCAACGAGCATTAATAACATATGACACACTGTAAATAACAGATCTCGCTGAAAAATGCTAAAAAGTCACTAATAACGTCTAAATATTTACACGCTGACATTGGTCAAAGCTACCAAATTCCCTTTCCGAGAGGAAAACACACCCTGTTAATCGCCCATATGCTTATTTAAGGTGGCGATTTCTCCTCTGTGCACGTAAAGCCTTTAAGCACAACACTTAAAAATTTAAAAATCAACTAACCAGCTGCTCTAGCCGTTTGCACGACCAGCAGCGAAGATTCATCCGGCCAAGACCGAGCTGCCACCCTGGGAAAAGCAGAATCCAAACTGCACCTTCTGCAAAGCTCCCAACGCCTCCAAGGTCCCTCGCTCAATTTTAACCTCACGGACCGACATTTTGTCCAAAATAACGAAAAAAAAAAAAACAGCCCAGAAGAAAAACAAACAAACAAACAAAGCCCCAAGAAGTGCAAAGAATACTATACCCAGCAAAGCTATTCTTCAGAAAATGAAAGAGAGATAAAGGCTTCTTTAGACATACAAAAGCTGAGAGAGTTCATCTACACCAGACCTATCTTCCAAAAAATGCTAAAGGGAGTTGTCAAGCTGAAATAAAAAGATGCTAATGAGTAACATGAAAATATCTGAAAGTATAAAACTCACTGGTAAAAGAAAGTGCACAATCAAACTTAGAATACTCTAAAACTGTAATGTTGAGGCACAAATCAATTATATCTTTAGTACGGAGGTTAAAAGAAAAATACTATTAAAAATAGTAATAGCTACTATAGTTTGTTAAGGGATGTACAATATAAAAACATATAAATTGTGACATTAAAAACATAAAATGAGAAAGGGTGGAATAAAAATGTAGAATTATTTTATATGATGAAATTTAAGTTGTTATGAGCTTAGAATAGCCTGTTATAACTGTGAGATATTCTATGTAAATATCATGGTAACCAAAACTTATTTATTTATTTATTTATTTTCAACATGTGGTTAGCATAATGCCTACTTCAATGCACTGTGGTAAGAATTAAATGTACTTTGTGCTTTGGGGATTTCTCATAAAGTCTTTGCCCAGTCCTATCTCCCAAAATGTTTCCCATATGTCTTCTTCCAGGAGTTTTGTTGTTTGGGGTCTTATACCTAAGTCTTTAATCCACTTTGAGTTGATTTTGCTATATGCCAAGTGGTATACATCTAGCTTAACTCTTCTATACATAGATATCCAGTTTTCCCCGCAACATTAACTGAAGAGCCTGTTCTTTCTCCAATGTGTGTTCTTGGTTCATTTATTGAAGATCAGTTGGTTGCAAGTACATGGGTTGATTTCTGAGTTCTCTATTTTGTTGCATTGGTTCAGGTGTCTGTTTTTATGCCAGTCCCATGCTGTTTTGGTTACTATGACTTTGTATTATAATTTGTAGTTGGGTAGTATAATGCCTCTGGTTTTTTAATTTTTTTTTTTTTCTCAGAATTGCTGTGGCTATTTGAGGTCTCTTTTCCATATGAATGTTAAGATTGTTTTTTCTATTTCTATGAAGTATGTCATCTGGGCCCGCCTCCGGGGCGAGGCTGCCCATTGAGCTACCCGCCTCCCCAGGGCTGGCTGCATCCCCTTTGCCGGCGCAGGGGCCGCCCTGGATTCCCGGGCCCCAATACCTGGGCAAGGGCCCTGTGCGCGTGGCTGGGACTCCCTCGCTGCCCTGGAGACTGGAGACTTATGGGTGCTGTGGACGAGGCCAGGCACGTAGGCGGAGGAAATTTGCCTCTTGCCCCCAAGTGAGCTAGAGGAAGGGGCAAGATGGGGTACTGGGCACTGAGGGAGGTAAAAAGGATTTCAAGGCTAGGGTACCAGCCTTTGCTTCTCTTTGGCTTACAGCCTGCGACTGTCGCTGCCAAAGAGGACTCTCCTTCGATGCTTTGAAAGCTTAAAAATCCAAGACAATTTTTTAAATATCCCACTCAGGATTTTAAAAAGTGGAAGAGAGCATTTTGAGGGCTTAAAACCTGACATTTTTCTGCGGAACTGTTGTGCCTTGCACGCGAAACACCAGTTCTGGAAAGAGAAGCCCTGAGTGCTATTGGGTCAGAATGTCCACCCAGAAAACCTTTAGGTAGGGACAGTGAAGGTTAGTTTTGCTCCGCCATTCTTTTTGCAGAGTGTCCAGGTAGATTCCGCAGTTTTTGCCCCAGGCACAAAGTAGCCAGAAGTACAAAAACTTCCTGTTTGCAGCTCAGACCTTCTCCAGCTACTGAGAACTTGTTCCAGTGATGGAGCCTGAAAGGAATTTGTGGATTCCTCTCCCACAAGTGTGCAGGGGCAGGGGTGCTGGGAGAATGTGAAGTTCACAGAGGGAATGAGAATGGCAAAGTCACGAAGGATGAACCAGAATTAAGGGAAAGAAAAAGAAAAGACTGAGTGAGCCAAAATATTTACTTTTTTTCTTCCAAATAGAAAAATTCTGGTAAAGGGTTGCTCACAACTCTTAAACAAATAAGTTACATTTCTGTAATTTTCCAAAGACATTGTCATTCAGTGAGCTTGATTGAGGACCAAACGCTGCTAGGTGCTGGACACACAAACCTCACTCATTCAGTTGCTGTGTGATAAAGCCAGGGTCTCCCTACTCTGTGCTAGGAGTTCCCAGTCCAGAAGGGGAAAAGTTCATTGACCTTCACCAGGTTGATAAGGAGGAAGGATTTTCCAGTCAGAATGAACAGAAAGAATGTCTCTCACGTCTTAAGAAAGAGCATGGTCTGTGTGTGGACAAGCATTTTGATTTGGGTGGATCAAAGGGTACTTGTGAGAAGAGCGTGTTAGTGAAAATAAAACAGAAGTTTCCCCTGACTTTACACCATGTGATGCTCCAGCAAAAGCAGCCAATTTAGAGTGTGGGCTTTGCTTTGTTTGGAATGGGGAGCTGTGAAAGGAAAGCTATATGTTAAAAGTGCATTCTTTCAGGAAATTTAATTACAAAAATAGCCTAAAGGCCCAAAAGCCAATTGCTGACAAGGTTTGGGTGGGTCCAGGAGACTGAGAGATAAAGATATTTCTTTGGGTTTTGGCTACATCTATAGAAGGAACAGCATTGGGCTGAAAAGCAAAGGAACTGAATTCTAATCCTCATTCTACCAAGTCTGTGTGCCCTCGGGCAAGTTATCTGTTCCAACTTAATTTTTCTCATATGTAGAAGGAGATCTTATCAAAAATTCTAAGTCCTCTCTTGCTCAAAAATTCCATGATTCTTTGGTGAGTTCGAAGTCATGGAGTTTCACTCAATAGAATAGGAAATACTAAATGCTTGGGAAATTGGAGTGAAACATGGATCATTCTCTAACGAAGCTCAGTGTGTAGTGGGGCAGCCAGAAATGTAGGCTGCCGAATGAGAAGTGCTGCTTAGTGGAGCATTATTAATTATCAATTAATTATCAGTAATGGATTAATTAAGCTTGGAGTTGTGGGACATGGGGTATGTGTCAAAAGAAGTAACATTGGACTGGGCCTGGAGGGACCAGTACGCCCAGTGAAAACATAAGATAGATAATGTTCTTGGCAAAATACGTGGAACTTAATAGGTGTTCAGTAAATAATATCATATTGTCGAAGTCACCATAAAGGGAATGAATGGCTCCGTAAGGTTAGGGAGAGTAGTGGCCCGCCCCCACCGCATTATATGGCCTGCCCCCACAATATTATCAGCTGCCTTCATTCAGCTGAGTAAAGGGGTTGTTCAAATGATTCTTTCCAGCTCACAGCTCTCCTCCAAGGTAGCATAACATCACCACCTTGACCAAAGGCAACTTCTAAGTTATGAATTGTTTCTAACATATAATTCTTCTTCATAGGATGCCCTGCTCTTGTTTTTGCTATGTTTACCCTTGAAATTAGGGATCACATTTTATAGGCACTCCTGGGGGCATACAAATTTGACCTAATGCAAATTTTTCCATAAAATTCATAATAAAATATTTTCCCATAAGGTCTCTCAATATAGTACCACAAAACAGACGCCACCTACCACAAGAAGATTGTTCCCTCTTGATCTCTTTTTTTCTATTGTTGGTACAGGATCCTGCCAGCCTCTCACTCACAACCCTGAGAGGGGCATAGGTAAGAGGAAAGATAGTAAATCCAATTGCAACAGATAGTACCACAATGACCTCCTCTCCTCTTTTTCACCAAATGTTGTAACCAAAAGGGACTTGTCCTTATTGTAAAAGCAGACAAGGCAGGCCCCAGAATTCTTTATACCTCCTTAGTTTGGGAGATGCTTTTTTCTGAGCCTTTCAATGGGTCTCAGTGTTAGTATATGCATAAGTATGTGTGTATATAACCAAGAATTATACAGGAATATATCATTTTAATTGCCTAAGAAGTTTCTGAATCGAGTGATTGTGTAAGCTAGGGTGAGGCTACAGATCTTAACTCACCCACCATGGCCAGCAACATACCTCACACATAATAGATGTAGAATAAATACTTACTAATTTATTTTGTTGATTTTAGGATGCTTTTGTTTATCTCCTTCTACTCAGTAACTTTTCTCAATATCCCCTTATTTACCCCTTTCTTTTTTTCTGGCTGTTTCTGATGTTTTCCAGTTACTTGTATCCTTCTTTCATCTGGCTACAAAATTTTCACTTTCTACTGGGAGAAACTGCATTGGTTTAGTAGGAAGGCATTTCTTGGCCCAGCCTTAGTTTACAAAGCTATGTTTGCTATTGTTAGGCCCTGTGTGTCTGGCCCCACAGAATCCAGTGCAGTGCTGGACCTCCAGGTGTGTCTCCACTGGGACTTGTGTGGAAAACCTGCTGATGCCCAGCCCAGGGGCTGGACCCTGGAGATGGAACGATGCAGAAGCCTTGGTTTGACTTCAAGGACTTCAGAGCACATAACTCAGCGATCATTTCCTGCTTTTCTCTGTTGAGGTAACTCTGAGGGAGGGTAAATATCAAAAATGGCTCACGTCTTTGTTCTAGAAAGAGTTCGTACACATGAAACAAAAATGTGAGCCCCTTAGTAGGGCCAAAGGCATGAACAGGAACATTTTAAAATAAATATTTGTTTAACCTTATTAAAAAATTCAGCCTTGGTAGTTCTCAAAAAAGAAAAATTGAAACGAGTTAGCCTGTCAACATAACAAAAACAATTTTAGAGATCATAATCATTGCTGGCTAATTGGCTTTAAAAAATATAGTCTTTGTTCATTTCTAGTGGCAGTAAGAATAAGATGGCACAACTCTTCTGAACAATTTGGAAGTTTTATCAAGATCCTTAAATGTGGTTATACCCTTTGACCAAATTTCTCCATTTCAATAAATGTATCTTAAGGAAACATTCTAAATGTGGGAAAATAACATTGAAAAATTGGAAATGTCCAGTTATATAGGAAAATAATTACACAAACTGATTCACCCACACAATGAAATTTGCAGCTATTAAAATAATACGTGTGAAGAGTAGACAAA